CCAGGTCCCTTTCATAAAACTATAATTTATCATCTATTTCAGACCTGGCAGCTGCTCTCATAGGCTGAGAACAAGGACTGATAGGAATGGATAACATGCCAGGAACTTAAAAGAGAGAGAATTGAAGAAATAAAAATCCAAAATTATCCCACAGTGAGACTACACAAACACAATTCTATCAATTTGAAACAACAAACCCACCTCCACCTATCAAAACTGAAGTAAAGATTCAACTTAAAACGACTATCAATAAAACATAGAAAAATATATGATCCAAATATTTCAAATCAGGCACCAAGGTGCATACTATATATGAAGATACAAGTAAAATCAATAAATATATTGCTATCCCCAACTCTTGAGAACACGTGAGAGTAGTGTGCAATACAATTCAGCCATCATAGTGGAAGCCAAGTAGACTGAAAATATCATTACTAGTTACTGAAAAGCAAGTGACTTGAGTAAAGGAAAAACAGAATACAATTCAGGATATTAAACCATCTAAGCGCCATCATTGTGAATGTAAGGGTAACACTACCTTGGGAGGCTTAAATGGATAATCTGAGAAAAATGGATAGTAACTAGAAAACACCCCCTGCATAAGGACTATCTGAGGACCCAAATTGTTGCTTGCCAATGAAACATGTCTATCAACAGGACCTGCAATACCCAGGAATATAACGAGAGAATCAAATACTAGAACAAATTCAAGGATAATAGTATATAAAGCGTTTACAAAAAAGATATTAGCAGGAAGCAAAAACTTAGCTCAGGTATTCATCCAAAAAAATTTAAATCATAGCAAAGAGCACATTGATAACCAAAAAAAGGAGGACAAAGACAACAATAAAAGATGTAATGACAAACTAAGGATCCCAACAATTTAGAGTAGAAGAGATAATTTCTAAAATTTCTTATCAGCATAAAACATTGCTTTTAATTCTGATTCACCTAGCTTGTTAACTCCCAAACTTACATGCATCGCATTATTAAAAGTCGAATATGTAATGAGTTGGTCAGTTGGCCAGCAAAATTCCAATAAAGACTAAATGATTTGTCTCATCAGTACATGAAAGTAACAACAGTAACAAGCCTAACTTTTTGGTTCTATTGGATGCTCCCTCCCACCACCACCCACAGAAAAAATACCAAACCAAAAAAATAGTATCTTATACTAGAATGTTTACTTGGAAAACTAAACACAAAGTACACTTCATAGGTCCAACCCCAAGCAATTTAGCAAACTGAGCCCCTCTCAAAGGACTTCACTGAATTGATACCCAAATAAGCAAAAAAACGACTTAAAGAAATTCAATCAAATAAATTTCTCACTCATTAATCAAAAATGATAATAAATCAAGTACACATTTTAATCAACCTAATACAAAACAGCTTCTATCCAGGCAAGACAAAGGATTACACACTATATTTACTCAATTTCCTGTTCACACAACTCCCAACGAGGACACCCAACCATTGCAAGTCATCCTAATTCCAAAAGCGCAGAACTCAAGTTTCTATTAATCTGTTTGACAACTACCAAGTTTATGTGTAGAATAAGGCCCCCGACAGGATTTTATAATCTGATACCAACACTATTTAAACCTCATTATTTCAAAACAAAATCTAGTCATCTACACCTGATGGCCATATTTTAAGCATTGCTAAAAGAGGATTAAAAGCAACAGTGAAATTTCAAATCACATCATGGTCCACCAATTAATGACAAAGAGCAAACTATTTAATTGACACGGGATTGATGTAAGCAACATATACAGTATTTCATACTGCAGAAACTTATACTGCCAAAGAGAGAAAAAAAAGTAAGCCCAGCGAGTCATACCTTCCTGAATGAATAACATTGCAACCCCATTGAAAAGTCTCAACCTAATCACACTGAAAATTACTCCAAATACAACAAAGATTGAGCAACGCATAGCTCATTATCATGAGTATATGTGACATAGAACACATAAAGCATGTTCCAATTCAATATACCTATACAGAAAAGATAACAATGTGTGTCCATCATGAAACATAGAACCATTACATATTCCTATAAATTTCCTCAAACTATGTCTCCGTTTAACCCTCTGATGCAAATGTTATTTGTATTCATTCCCCCCTAAAATCACCTCAAGTAGACGATGATTAACATTGATGCAAAACCATTACAACTCAAGAAAAGTTCACATAGCAAATCCAATACCCGGTTAATACTTGAAGCCAGTATGCATCACGAGGCAAAACAACACTCAACAATCCTGTTCGTTTCTATGCAAAGGTGAAAACAAAAACCTTCTAATTTTAAAAAAAAAAAAAAAAGACATAATTTGCCTCTTTTTTCTTCCAAAAATACCAGACATGTCAATAGAAATCGTTTAAATTCTAAAAAGAGCACATCATAGCAAACACAAAAAGCGAAGAATTAAATGAATAAATAAACAGATAAAATGATTACTCAAAAAGAAAAGAGAACACCTAAACAATCTCGACATCATTCAATCATTAAATCATGAGCAAAAGTCGAACAATAATATAGAAGATAGATCAAAGTCAAAGTCAAACAGATGTTATATACCAGCACTGCATGACGTAGGCGGATCCTTCTGCAAATCCTTGAGCTCTTTCAAGATCCGCTTTGAAGCCATCGCCTGAACCTAAGATTCATCCAATAGATCTCCTCAGATCGTTATCATCAAAACATATACACATTAAAAGAATAATAAAAAACAAAAACAAAACCTAATAGATCGTAACCGCACCTGAGAGACACCTGATCCTCCTGTTTCTTAAACGCGTTGTTTGGATTCGTGAGAGAGGAGATCTATCGATCGCACGAAGATGAAGAAGAAAAAATAAAAACGAGAGAAAATGAATTGAACGAGACGAAGAGAAATGGAAGGAAGAAAATGGAAGATGAAATTAGAATCCGGTGTGGTGATGACTTTGATAAAAAAAAAAATATTATAATGTGTGGGTCTGATCTGGCTGGCTTTATGTGATTTGACCCTCCGATTGGGTTATTCTCTTCTTATGGTGGGCCCATATTGGCGTCTTCTTTACGTTTAACCAAAATTTCGCCGAAAGTTGCCGCCGAAAATAAGTTACTTGGTTTATATATAATATAATTCGTGTGGACGGGAGTCTCTTAAGAATGATACGATGTCGTTTTTCTTCGGGCTTTTTTGCTTTTCTGGCAGTGAATATTCTGCGGAACGGTGTCGCTTGCCCTTTTTCTGAGAATTTTGTAAAGGCGCCTAGAGATATGGTTTCTGTGTATGGTCCAATAATGTCAACATAATGTCATATTTTTTAGTGGTGAATAATTGTGAAATTTAATGTGAGTTTTCTCTTTTTCAAAGAGATTCTTAATTCCTTTTATCAGGTCAACAAAAGAATCTCAATTATGCATTTTAAATAAATTAACCTTATTTAATAGTTAATTCGATGAAATTTTGGTTATGTTGGTGGTTGCTCCATGAAACCTTTAAAATTTATATATTTTATTTTAATTTTAAATCCAATTTAAATAGATTTATTTAACTATCAGTCAAATCCATCGTGACTTAAAACTATCAAAATCATATCAATTTTTTGAAGTCACTCAATCTAAGCTTATTATCTTACTTCTAAGCCAAATTTGTGATTAATTGAATTTACACATCCTCATTCCTTACATGAAAAGTAACAACAGTAAAAACCTAACTGTTTGGTTCTATTGGATTGCTCCCTTCCACCACCACCCACAAAGAAAAAAATACCAACAACAAAAAATAGTATCCTATACTAAATGTTTACTTGGAACTAAACCACAAGTACACTTCATAGGTCCAACCCAAGCAATTTAGCAAACTGAGCCCCTCAGTCAAAGGACTTCACTGAATTGATACCCAAATAAGCAAAAAAACGGACTTAAAGAATTCAATCAAATAAAATTTCTCACTCAATTCTAATCTTGAAAAATGATACTAAAATCAAGTACACATTTTAATCAACCTAAAATTACAAAACAGCTTCTATCCAGGCAAGACAAGGATTACACACTATATTTACGTCAATTTCCTGTTCACACAACTCCAAACAGGACACCCAACTCATTGCAAGTCATCCTAATCCATAAGCCAGAACTCAAGTTTCTATTAATCTGTTTGAACATACCAAGTTTCATGGTAGAATAATGGCCCTCGCGGATATTTATATCGGATACCTAGACACATTTAAACCTCTTATTTCAAAAACAAAAATCTAGTCATCACACCTGATGGCCATATTTTAAGCATTGCTAAAAGAGAGTAAAAGCAACAGTGAATATAAATCACATCATGGTCCACCAATTTAATGACAAGAGGCAAACATATTTAATTGTACACGGGATTAGTGTAAGCAACATAATTATACAGTAATTTCATACTGCAGAAACTTATACTGCCAAAGAGAGAAAAAAAGTAAGCCCAGCGAGTCATACCTTCCTGATGAATACATTGCAAACCCCATTGAAAAGAGTCCCACCTAATCACACTGAAAATTACTCCAAATACAACAAAGATTGAGCAACGCATAGCTCATTATCTGAGTATATGTGACATAGACACATAAAGCAGTTACCAATTCAATATACCTATACCAGAAAAGTAACAATTGTTGTTCCATCAAATGAAACATTGGATGCAAACCATTACAATCTCCTATAAATTTCCTCAAACTAATGTCTCCGTTTAACCCTCTGATAGCAAATGTTATTTGTATCATTCCCCCCTAAATCACCTCAAGTTAGACGATGATTAACATTGGATGCAAAACCATACAACTGAAGACTTGGTGTAGCTAAAAACATTCATAACATCTTTATCATAAAACAAACAATATTTTGCTTAGTTGTTGTGTGAACAAGCATTGACTACTTATTTTGAATATACCCATTAGATGTCAGAAAAATAGAAGTTGGAAGAAACGGGAGCTTGATAAGAGATGTGGAAAGAAACGAATTGGGGAAGGAGTTTTTAGAATTCTGAATCAGGTACACATTTCATTGACGAAGGTCACAATTATCCATACAATAATTGAAAGCAACACGAGTTTTTCTTCTTTTTAACTAAGGGCACGTAATGTGATGGACCTCTTTCTTTTAGTCCATTTTAGGAGAAACATTCATTCATACAGAAACTTGAAAGACGAAAAAATATTAAAGAAAAGAGCCCTCCCCTCCCTCACACGCAATACAACTCCTGTCAGCCCATGGCATATTTCTGGGTCCAGCTCCTTGCAGTTGTCTCGTACTTATTCCTGTCTGTCTTGTACATATGAGCTATCTCTGGCACCAATGGATCGTCTGGATTTGGATCCGTCAATAATGAGCAGATTGATAGCAACACCTATGAACCAAACAACCAACATTTTAAACCATTTCCCATCCACATAATGAAAAAGACACCTTAATCTAAACAATAATGCTATGTTTACTCACAAGTTTACTAACCGCCTTACTACCTTTGTTAAAATTACATATGGTACCCGTACTAGGCGTTATATTTACAAAGAGTATAGTAAGATAGTTAGTAAGATCGTGAGTAAGTATAACATTACTCTAATCTAAAAGGCGTCATGAGTATCTGATTTTAATAGAATCTTGAGATTACTAATTTTTCTAAGTTTTAATCATGGAAGAAATGGGTAATGGATGAAGAATTAATATTGTAAATGAGAAAAACCAAAAATAGATGATAATCTCCCAGGTAGCTTAAGAGGTTAAATCATATAATCACCAATCAGGAGTATATTGATAAATAAAATTTATAGAGTACTAGAAAAAATTAACAAAAACCTTGGAAATGGTCAAGGCAGGGCTCCATTGCTCCTTCAAGATATCAAGACAAATGCTTCCGTTGCTATTTATATTTGGATGGAAAACCTTTGTCCTGAATGCAACCTACAAGATCAATCCACATATATGAGAGACACACACACAACAGCGAGATTTAGTCCTCAAGGTCAAGAAGCTTAAGAAATTTTGAAGAGGGCACGCAAAGAACTTGGAATATTTGGTTGCATGAAGAACACAGAAAGACATCTTTATATTCCTGTTTCTAACATTTTCCTAACACACACTTGACTGCAAACTAACAGTGCCAAATAACCTTGCACAATTTCCAGTGTATTAACACAACAGAAACAGCTGAGAGATATATTTAGTTGCACCAGAGTCCCTTTCATAAAACTATAATTTATCATCTTAAATTTTCAAGAGAACCTGGCAAGCTGCTCTCATAGGCTGAGAACAAGGACTGATAGGAATGGATAACATGCCAGGAACTTAAAAGAGAGAGAATTGAAGAAATATAAAATCCAAAATTATCCCACAAATGAGACTACACAATCACAATTCTATCAATTTGAAACAACAAACCCACCTCCACCTATCAAAACTGAAGTAAAGATTCAACTTAAAACGACTATCAATAAAAACATAGAAAAATATATGATCCAAAGATTTACAAATACAGGCACCAAGGTGCATAACTATATTATGAAGATACAAGCTAAAATCAATAAATATATTGCTATCCCCAACTCTTAAGAACACGTGAGAGTATGTGCAATACAATTCAGCCATCATAGTGGAAGCCAAAGTAGACTGGAAAATATCACTACTAGTTACTGAAAATTAGCAAGGTGACTTGAGTAAAGGAAAAACAGAATACAATTCAGGATATTAAACCATCTAAGCGCCATCATTGTGAATGTAAGGAGGGTAACACTTACCTTGGGAGGCTTAAATGGATAATCTGGAGGAAAATGGATAGTAACTAGGAAAACACCCCCTGCATAAGGACTATCTGGAGGACCCATAATTGTTGCTTGCCAATGAAACATGTCTTCAGCAACAGGACCTGCAATACACAGGAATATAACGAGAGAATCAAATAACTAGAACAGAAAAAATTCAAAGGATAATAGTATATAAAGCGTTTACAAAAAAAGATATTAGCAGGAAGCAAAAACTTAGCTCAGGTATTCATCCAATAAAAATTTAAATCATAGCAAAGGAGCACATTGATAACCAAAAAAAGGAGGACAAAGACAAACAATAAAGAAGATGTAATGACAAACTAAGGATACCAACAATTTAGAGTAGAAAGAGATAATTTTCTAAAATTTCTTATCAGCATAAAACATAGCTTTTAAATTCTGATTCACCTAGCTTGTTAAACTCCAAAACTTACATGCATCGCATTATTAAAAGTCAGAATATGTAATGAGTTGGTCAGTTGGCCAGCAAAATTCCAATAAAGACTAAATGATTTGGTCTCATCAGTACGTGAAAGTAACAACAGTAACAAGCCTAACTGTTTGGTTCTATTGGATTGCTCCCTCCCACCACCACCCACAAAGAAAAAAATACCAAACGAACAAAAAAATAGTATCTTATACTAGAATGTTTACTTGGAAAACTAAACACAAAGTACACTTCATAGGTCCAAACCCAAGCAATTTAGCAAACTGAGCCCCTCAGTCAAAGGACTTCACTGAATTGATACCCAAATAAGCAAAAAAACTGACTTAAAGAAATTCAATCAAATAAAATTTCTCACTCAATTGTAATCATGAAAAATGATAATAAAATCAAGTACACATTTTAATCAACCTAAAATTACAAAACAGCTTCTATCCAGGCAAGACAAAGGATTACACACTATATTTACATCAATTTCCTGTTCACACAACTCCAAACAAGGACACCCAACTCATTGCAAGTCATCCTAATTCCATACAAGCGCAGAACTCAAGTTTCTATTAATCTGTTTGACAACTACCAAGTTTGATGTGTAGAATAATGGCCCCCGACAGGATATTTATAATCTGATACCTAGACACTATTTAAACCTCATTATTTCAAAAACAAAAATCTAGTCATCTACACCTGATGGCCATATTTTAAGCATTGCTAAAAGAGGAGTAAAAGCAACAGTGAAATTATAAAATCACATCATGGTCCACCAATTTAATGACAAAGAGGCAAACATATTTAATTGTACACGGGATTGATGTAAGCAACATATACAGTAATTTCATACTGCAGAAACTTATACTGCCAAAGAGAGAAAAAAAAGTAAGCCCAGCGAGTCATACCTTCCTGAATGAATAACATTGCAAACCCCATTGAAAAGAGTCTCAACCTAATCACACTGAAAATTACTCCAAATACAACAAAGATTGAGCAACGCATAGCTCATTATCATGAGTATATGTGACATAGAACACATAAAGCATGTTACCAATTCAATATACCTATACCAGAAGAAGTAACAATTGTGTGTCCATCAATGAAACATTGGATGCAAAACCATTACAATCTCCTATAAATTTCCTCAAACTAATGTCTCCGTTTAACCCTCTGATAGCAAATGTTATTTGTATTCATTCCCCCCTAAAATCACCTCAAGCTAGACGATGATTAACATTGGATGCAAAACCATTACAACTCAAGAAAAGTTGCACATTAGGCAAATCCAATACCCGGTTAATACTTGAAGCCAGTATGCATCACGAGGCAAAACAACACTCAACAATCCTGTTCGTTTCTATGCAAAGGTGAAAACAAAAACCTTCTAATTTTAAAAAAAAAAAAAAAAGACATAATTTGCCTCTTTTTTCTTCCAATAATACCAGACATGTCAATAGAAATCGTTTAAATTCTAAAAAGAGCACATCATAGCAAACACAAAAAGCGAAGAATTAAATGAATAAATAAACAGATAAAATGATTACTCAAAAAGAAAAGAGAACACCTAAACAATCTCGACATCATTCAATCATTAAATCCTGAGCAAAAGTCGAACAATAATATAGAAGATAGATCAAAGTCAAAGTCAAACAGATGTTATCTACCAGCACTGCATGACGTAGGCGGATCCTTCTGCAAATCCTTCAGCTCTTTCAAGATCCGCTTTGAAGCCATCGCCTGAACCTACGATTCATCCAATAGATCTCCTCAGATCGTCATCATCAAAACATATACACATTAAAAGAATAATAAAAAACAAAAACAAAACCTAATAGATCGTAACCGCACCTGAGAGACACCTGATCCTCCTGTTTCTTAAGCGCGTTGTTTGGATTCGTGAGAGAGGAGATCTATCGATCGCACGAAGATGAAGAAGAAAAAATAAAATCGAGAGAAAATGAATTGAACGAGACGAAGAGAAATGGAAGGAAGAAAATGGAAGACGAAATTAGAATCCGGTGTGGTGATGACTTTGATAAAAAAAAAAATATTGTAATGTGTGGGTCTGATCTGGCTGGCTTCATGTGATTTGACCCTCTGATTGGGTTATTCTCTTCTTATGGTGGGCCCATATTGGCGTCTTCTTTACGTTTAACCAAAATTTCGCCGAAAGTTGCCGCCGAAAATAAGTTACTTGGTTTATATAAATATAATTCGTGTGGACGGGAATCTCTTAAGAATGATACGATGTCGTTTTTCTTCGGGCTTTTTTGCTTTTCTGGCAGTGAATATTCTGCGGAACGGTGTCGCTTGCCCTTTTTCTGAGAATTTTGTAAAGGCGCCTAGAGATATGGTTTCTGTGTATGGTCCAATAATGTCAACATAATGTCATTTTTTTTAGTGGTGAATAATTGTGAAATTTAATGTGAGTTTTCTCTTTTTCAAAGAGATTCTTAATTCCTTTTATCAGGTCAACAAAAGAATCTCAATTATGCATTTTAAATAAATTAACCTTATTTAATAATTAATTCGATGAAATTTTGGTTATGTTGGTGGTTGCTCCATGAAACTTTTAAAATTTATATATTTTATTTTAATTTTAAATCCAATTTAAATAGATTTATTTAACTATCAGTCAAATCCATCGTGACTTAAAATTATCAAAATCATATCAATTTTTTGAAGTCACTCAATCTAAGCTTATTATCTTACTTCTAAGCCAAATTTGTGATTAATTGAATTTACACATTTATTTTATAAATATATAAATTATTTAAAATACAAAATTAATTTTTTTTTTCACATTTATGCTTTAGATTTGAGTAAACGATTTTTTCCCACCAAAATAATGACTTAATGATACTATTTCACCCGTAAACTTTTAAAATACTACTTTGCTATTTAAATTTATATTCCGTTTCTAATTTTGATATCATTGCGACTTCACACTACCATCATTCTCTTTCTCAATTATCACACACCAAAACTCCTTAAACTATACTCTCGCCGACTCTGTATATCATCGGTAACCGAGCGATTAAAATTTACTTAACTGGTCCTTTTAAGTCAAATTTCGATCAATTACACCATCAAAATCCAATCATCTATCATCAAAAGACATATCGGTCTCTCTTCTTTAAAAACCCTAATAATCTGGACTGAATTTATTTTTTATTAGTTGTTGGAATATAAATTTAAATAGTAAAATGATATTTTAAAAATTTGTAGGTAAGAATGTATTATTAAGTTATTATTTGACAATCTGGACTGAATTTATTTTTTATTAGTTGTTAGAATATAAATTTAAATAGTAAAATGATATTTTAAAAATTTATAGGTAAGAATGTATTATTAAGTCATTATTTGATGGAAAAAAGTGATTTACTCTTTAGGTTTCTGAAATTCCGTGAAATGTCTCAAAATTTAATCTCGGCACATGCGAAAAAAAAAAAAAGGAGTGGAGATTTAACGAGTTTTCTTTGCGACTGCTGAGATTTGGCTTTTACCTTTTCCCCCAGTTTTGTGTCTTTCGGCTAAAAAATACAACGGTGGAGCCGTGGAGGGCGGTGTTTCACCAAACCTTAGGGGTAAAACGTTATTGTTGCGGAGATTTATTTATTTATTTTCATACAGTCCGATCCCAATCGAGAGCACCCACGCTGTCAGCTGGCATCTGGTAAAATCTTAAATTGTGAGACGGCATGTGGGATGGCTTCCATCTTATCTAGATGTCAAAAGTTCAAAACCATCGAATGGATGACATTGAAAGAACGTAGACGAATGCCACGTCAGTCCCACTATTAACGGTTTCAGATTCATTGCACCATAAGAAGTACCATAGAAGATAAAATCCCGCTTTTTACCGACGTGGCTGTGCAAAATCATTGTCTTTCACTTCTCAAAACCAAATTGACGATCGAGCCAGATAGACTCGCTTGCCAGTAGCCGAAATGGAACGGCAGAGAACGAACCGGCGAGTCCAAATCGATGAATCGCAGCCTCCGAAATACGACACTGTTGACGAGGGGGATGATAATTCGATGAGAATGAGACCATCGCAGAACAATGTGACCGAAAGTCAAGAGCCCTTCATGGGAGTTAAGGTCCGTAGAAAAGCGTCGCTTCACCGAGAATACAAAGGCGATTATATCGACGTGCCTTCTCGCCCGTACTTAATAAAGATTATGGAAAAGCAAGGTGAATTTTGTGGTTATTTAATGTTAATTTGTGCAATTGATTGCTATGTTTTGATTTGTTTTATTTAGGGTTTCAAGATTTGGTTAATCGATTGTTGATTTTCATTTGATTATTTTTTATTGGCCATGTATTGGTAGGTTTTTTTTCTTTCTCTTGTAGTTACTTTGAGAAAATCAACGTAGAGTTTTACGGTATTTGATTGAATTATTTGAAATGTTCTAGCTTGAAAGAAGGTAATATATTAAAATGGTAGAAAGTTTTCGACTTTGGTTTTTTGGCATCATTTTTACACCTTTATGGAAAATATTAAAATTAGAATTAATCAAGAATATGAAGAGCTGCGTCTATTATTTTTATGCTATAAATTTTTGTATAATGTTTTATATTCCAGAAAATACAGTACGCAAATTTTATACCGTATATCATCTTGGTTGGGTGAGGAAACGAAGACTGAACAAGTTAAATTGTTGGGTTAACAACATTTCTTTCGAGCATTGATAACTTAGTTAAAGATCGAAACAAACATGCACAATATAAAGCCCATGCATGAGGAGAGACGTTTTGTTTGTTGGTTGGTTTTTCCCTTCATTGAGGGAGGGAGTTTCGGATTGGAGACTGGTATTCATTGGAAAGTTTTGACATTGTTATTCTAAATTCTTGTTTATTTACTAAAGGGACTTCATATTATATTTTTGCAGGTGACACGCAAGTTCTTTTTGCTGATAACGTTTTGAAGTTCACTGGTAATGGGAAGATGAAGCGTCGCATTCTTCTAATTACTAATTTTGCCATTTACCTTGTTGACCCTGATACTGCTGCACTTAAACGCCGCATAGCTCTTGCAGCTGTTGAGAAGATGTCTTTGAGTGAACTAAGTGATAACTTTTTTGCAATTATCATTCCATATGAGTACGACCTACTCATGGCTAGTACTCGAAAATCTGAAATTGTTACCGTGTTAGTTGAAGCTACTAAGAGTGACTCAGCGCAACTTGAGGTGGTTTTCTCCAATAGGTAAACTTAATTTATGCTGCTGCTACCTATGTTCATTGTTATACGCTTGAGTGGACGCTCCTCTTCTAGGCTTTTTAGTGGACTTGAGCACTCTGTAATAGTGCTTGGATAAAGTGGTCAAGTCTTGTCTTACTAGCATGAGGGCTTCCCTTATTGAAGTTTTAGAATCCATGAGAAAATTTCTGGTTTCACAATGGTTTGAATAGTTATTTTGTTGCTGGAGATTTTACATACTAGTGCAAATGCTCAATGATGGTGGCAAAGCTTCTTAGCTTGATTCTGTGAGCACCAATGCCATTGCCTGGATAATGAAATTAATATAATTGTCATAATGGCATTGTTAAAATTACAGTAGAATGTGTGAGTCTTTATATTTGTTTTGATTTTTATTTGTTGATTTATTGTTGACTTCATCGTTGAGAATTTTCTTTATGAATTGTCTTTTCCCATATCTTTTCTAGGTTTGAGTATAATGCAACTAGCGATTTGGTGAAGGAAGTTCAATTTGAGGAAGTGGAAGGTATGTGTTACTATTCTATTAGAGTTGTTCTCATCAGTTATAGCACATTTAAAGAGTTGGCTATGGCNCACAATGGTTTGAATAGTTATTTTGTTGCTGGAGATTTTACATACTAGTGCAAATGCTCAATGATGGTGGCAAAGCTTCTTAGCTTGATTCTGTGAGCACCAATACCATTGCCTGGATAATGAAATTAATATAATTGTCATAATGGCATTGTTAAAATTACAGTAGAATGTGTGAGTCTTTATATTTGTTTTGATTTTTATGTGTTGATTTATTGTTGACTTCATCCTTGAGAATTTTCTTTATGAATTGTCTTTTCCCATATCTTTTCTAGGTTTGAGTATAATGCAACTAGCGATTTGGTGAAGGAAGTTCAATTTGAGGAAGTGGAAGGTATGTGTTACTATTCTATTAGAGTTGTTCTCATCAGTTATAGCACATTTAAAGAGTTGGCTATGGCCTGTACTGGTATTATAGGCTTCTACATCATTCTTTTTGTGTGTTGCAGGTGGTGTTAAAACAAGAATTCTGACAAGATAAGTTGCATCTTATACTGTCTTAATATGTTTGTAGACTTTTAAGGGGATTTGAAGTCTCCATTGTAAAGGTAAAAGACTGTTCATCCATACATATTTTGTTCCTTTCAGCATTAAGGTCAACCTCCCCTTGAAAATGTAGCTTCTTGTTTTGATATTTGAAACAGTGTGTGATTTGTAATTCTTTTTGCAAAAAAATGGTAGTGTAATTGTGTTCTTTCAACTTCCAACCAGTTTCATCAGGATGTGTGAAATGTGATATTTGCAGAGCAATTTTTTCAATAATAAATCATTTGTCAGAGAAGACATGCCTATGGCTTCAAATTTCATTTTTCTGCTTCCATATTCAATTTTACCAAGTCCATTATATCCTTGTGAGCAAAAAGTGAGAAGGAATTTTACACATTTTAAATCGCATGTATTTTCTAGCAAATTTAAGGAAGTTGTTAAAGGGAAATATAGTAATAAATTGAAGAGTGAAAAAGATACCTCTTCGGACTTCATAATGGAGTTCAGCTTGTAAGACAAATTTCTGGGAGAGTGGCTTCAGATCCATAATAACAACAAAATATGGTGTGCTGTGCACTTGACTGATTGCTCGAGATTATCAGGAAACAAAATTCGAAAAAACATTCCAAAGACCATATAAAATGGGTCAGTTGTGTATAGCCACCATTTGTGTCAAATATCCTGATTGAAACCACGCAGTCTTGGAACATTTATCTGCTTTAAGGTGAGACATTTGTTGAGAATCAAATCCTGTATGCCCACTTGGTAATTCTTGATCTTTTCCTTGTGTCCTCAGCAATCCTTCCAAATAAAGCTTGTCAAGAATGATGATGATACCATATTTGTTTCTTGATTCTTTATTCTTCATAATGGCATTGTTGCTATATCTCAAGTAGGAAGCAAAGCAGAGACACAATGAAACTTACGCAAGAAAGATGTTTGGGCCTTTGGGGGGCCTCTTTAAAGTATCATATTGATATCTAATATCTTTTCGGTTGCATCTTCTTTTTCTTATTTAAATTACTTTAAGAGTGGGGGACTCGCATATTAAATGTTTAAGGTCCAGCCTATTGAAAATCTAATGATGTTAGCAAGTGATGTAGTTTGAAGCCATTGATTAGTTTGTTTTTGGTCGACTAAGAAGTTAATGTGGAAAGATAAACTGAAGGGTCCAAAACTCACCCACTACACTACCAATTCTGTATATAACAAAGAGATTAAATTGCTTTTATCATTGAGCAAGGTCATTTGATTCCACATGCATAACAAAAACTCATGACTCATTACTAAATAATGCAAATCGACAAAAACCTAACTTGGCTTTGACTTAGATGGATCAGGTTAAGGTAGCTAAACTAATCTTAGCACCCAACTTGCTACAGAAACATAAAATACACAAACAACTAAGAAATCTAAAATCCTTCTTTTCAATTCAGCATGAATTGAAATAGAGAATAATTATTAAAAAAAAAAAAAAAAAGAGTATTCTGTCATGATCACTAATACCTATTAGCTAAAGCTTACTACCAACCAAAAAAGAATTTCAATGTGCAGCAGAGGAAGAACCAATTTCGGTTGTTGGTTGTGGTGTTGGACTTGAGGTTTCTGACTTATTTGCCGGTGGTGGCTGGTTTTCGGTACTCCCTCGCTGGATTTCCTCCACCATTTTTACAACCTCTGGCATTTTTGGCCTCTGCTCTGGCATTCTCACAACACAAGCCATTCCTATTTGTAACATCTCCACCATTTCCTCCTCTATATTGGGGTACCTCAAAAGTGCTACATCAAACACTTCTGCAGTCCACTCTTCTCTAACCACAGAATTTACCCACCTTACCAAGTGAATAACCTCATCACCACCGGTGGCATGTATAGGTGACTTTCCTGTGAGAAGCTCGAGCAGCAAGACCCCGAAACTGTAAACATCAGACGCTTGGGTTGCTTTCCGACTGTCTGTTACTTCTGGGGCACGGTACCCAGCAGCTCGCATAACTGGTGGTGGCATTGGACTCATCAGTGTTGCCATACCGATATCAGAAACACAACCATATCCTTGAGGGTTGAGGAAAATATTTGAGGCTTTTATGTCTCCATGGACAAATTTCCCACCATTTTGTGTATGAACATGAGCTATACCTCTTGCTGCACCAATTGCGATTCTCACTCGTGTCTTCCAATCTAAAGACGTCTTTCCCTCCCCTCTTCTACCTGCAAATCAGAAATGCGTTAAGATAAAATTTTACATCTTTGAGCGAATTATACAAGAGACTGAACAAAATAATTGCAGTTTTTAACATACCATGTAACATTGCCGAGACACTTCCCTGACCATAATAATCATAAACCATAAGCTTCTCATCCTTGGAATAGTAATATGCTCTTAATGCAGTCACATTCTCATGCTTTAGATTCCCCACCACCTCCATTTGTTGTTCAAACTCCCTTTTTCCCACATTCACTTCCTTCAGCCTCTTCACCACCACTGTGGTTGCATCCTCCAATGCCGCTTTATAGGTTATCCCAAATGTTCCCTTTCCAAGCACCTCAGCAGAGGCTCTCAGCAAATCCTCCAAATCAAAGACGAGATTACAACCTTCAAAGAACACAAGACTGCCGTTCTTATCTTGGCTCTCAGAGGCCCCGGCCTTCAGTGACTTCTCTTTCTTTTGTGATTTCACTGGCAACCCATCTTCACCTCCTTTGTCAGAATAGCAATAGAAAATCAAAAGAACAACTACCACAAACCCCAATGCACAACCCCCTATAATTAATGCCAACAATGCATGTTCACTCAATTTTGTGCTTTTTCTCCTTGTTGGTTGTTCATTTGGTGGTTGAATTGGAGGAGCTGGAGGAAGGGCAATTTCTGGGGAAACATGGTTACCAACAAATGCCCCACTTGGAAATCTTTGAAGAGAGGGAGGCACACTTCCAGTGAGGTTGTTGTTGGATAGATTTAGCTGTTGCAAACTGGGAATGTTGAGATCAGGAATGTCACCCGAAAGCGAGTTGTTAGCAAGATTCAGGAATGTGAGGCGAGTCAAATTTGAGAGTGAAGAAGGGATATTCCCATTGAAATAATTGTTTGAAAGATCAGTAACTGTAAGACTCTTCCAAACTGAGAAATCTGAAGGCAATGGACCGGAGAAGTTGTTGAATTGGAGGTAGAGAGTGGACAAATTTTGGAGTTTTGAGAAATCAGAAGGGAATGAACCTGAGATACTATTGGATCTCAGACTCAGATTTTGTAGTGCAGATAATCGGCTAATGGTGTTGGATGGGACAGAACCTCGCAATCCAATTCCCGGCAACCTGAGGGCTATAACTCTAGAATTATCTTTATTACATGTCACTCCAGTCCATAAACTGCACACTGAGCTGTTTTCATGCCAATTGAGAGAGTGTGGATGATGAATATTATCAAGAAATTCCAGTAATGCTTGTTTATCTCCAACTGGGTCGGCTATAATAGGCAAGAAACATGTTCCCAACAAGACAATTGCAGAGAAAACACACCAGAGATTCATCTTGTCACTCATTTTCTCAGTGAAAAAGTGATGCAGCTAACTGGTTAAACTATATCGAAGCTGAAAAGTGAATTTGTTTCAGCAAATCTTGGTCACATCTACATGAAAATGAGTATAAGAGATGAATCAGAGTCAAGAAAACGAACACATTTAGTCTGATTTCTGATTATAAATTAATGCTATTTAAGTCAGAGACGTTTCATATCAGTTTTCATGTAAAAGAAAGAGGCTTAAAAGACTTCACAAATTCTGTTAGCGTTTTTTTATTGGTCAAAATAGACAATTGTAGATAAGTTAGGTCCAGTTGTTAATTGACTTTCTGTCACCTACTTTGATTGGCTGCCGAGAAAAACGTAGAAAGAGAGAAAAGGAATCTAAAATCTAACCTCCATTCACTCCATCGTTTCCACAAAACAAAACAAAGAATCATCAGTTCAAAAATCGAAAAGCCATAAACTTGCTTACTTGAGTCCAGATCGCATCAAAACATTCACAACCCAGAAATCTACACAGATTCAGAAACGCATTGAAGCTTCAGCCATCTTCAAGAATGTTGAATAAAATGGTAAACAAAGAACTGAAAAAGGGTTGAAGGAAGAAAGAAAGGAAGTGTTGATGATGAAGAAAGAATAACAGTAGTAGTGGTGATGAAGATGAGCTGTTGTTGCTTGAAAAGGCAGTATCACATGCAAGAAACCATTTTGATAATCATTGATAAGGCATTATATATTTATATTATAATTTGATAGCGCACGAACTGGAACCTGCATGTGGAGACAAAGAAAAGAAAGACACAACGGATATCAAGGGTTAAAACTTTTTAGAAACTACTTATATATTTTAACTAATAACTGCTACCTAATGTGGGGCAGGGCACACATATTTAGCTTATCAGAATCTAAATCTTCTTGTTAATAAATAATAACCTCTCTGTGTTTTCCGTGTTTCCGCCATTGATGCTTTGTTTCGACCTCCAAGATAAAAGAAATTATCATTCACTGTGAGTGAAAATAAATAAACTGATTCAATGGACGGTGGGGATGAAACGATATTCTTGAAAAGCATGCAGATTACGTCACTTGTAATTAAGTTGATTAAAAGAAAATTATTTTTATATTGTATTTTTAAATTATATAATATAGTCCAATATTATTATAACGATGAGCTAATATGAAATATGATACTTACCTAATCGTGTTGTGTTAGGCTGGGATTTTTATCCCATTATTTTATTTACATAAAAATTTATTAAGTCTTTATATTATGAAAATGCCACCGAAAGTGCATTTACAACCTCTTGTCAAAATCATGATATTATCTACATTTTACTGTTGAAATGCAATTATCATAAAGATTTTAATTAGAGCTACCAAAACACAATTAATTAAAGCTAAACAATTATAATTATTATCTATGATTAGCTGAAAATAAAATCACTGTGATAATTCCTTTTATTCACGGCTTCACGCCTAACGCCCAAGTTGTCAGAATTATGCTAAAATGGCCAATCTGATTACGACGTTAACTCCCCTCCTCTCTCTATTTAACGTTGACTTTCAAGTCCCTGTCACGAAAATCAAATCACCTCGAAACCGGCGTCAAATTCGTTTGTTCCCGCCAGGCTGAGCACCAATCAATGGCGACGGTGACACAGCTCACATCACAGTACTTCATTTATCTTGACACGTGCCACTTATTGCTTGGCCCGTCGAAGATTTATGACAAAAACTCATAAACACATACACAAGTGTCGTCGGTAGTAGGTCCCAGCCGTATGATCATTCACTCAATGGCGCCATAATGTTAATCACAGCCGTTCATCGTTGGTATACTATAAAATTTTAAGAAATAAACTTAGGGTTTATGTTTAAGTTTTTGATATTTAAAATCTTTATAAAAAAAATTGGAAAAATCACAAATTTTTCCAATTTATAATTTTATTGTTTCTAAGACTATAGATTATTAAATTTTTTTATATACCTCATTTTCAAAATTAATAATTATGTTTGAAACATATTAAAATAAGAGAGTATCAAAGTTTCTAGACTTTTTTTATTTTATTTTATTTTAAGTCAAACTTTAGGTTTAAAGTTCGAGGACTATATGGTATGGAGGCCCATTGAATCATTGATATAATAAGAAATTATTAAAATAAGATGACCCACAAAGCCAATTATCAAAAGTTAAGGTTGAAATGAGACAAAGGGATGATTTAGCCTAATAGTTCAATATCCACTATCCATGTTATGTGAAATCATTTATATTGTAGTATTTTATGTTATAACATATGCTTTATTCCATATTTATAATATTTATATTCTTTTAAGATTATGTTAAAAACATGTACAACTTTTATCATCTTGTTGAAACAAATAAGGGTTCTAAGTTTCTAACTTCTTAAGTTTTCTTTGACTATATCAAATAATCAAACTTCTAAATTCACCCACCTCGTGATAATTATTTTATCCTAAAGTTCATAAATAAATTTTACCATAAGCTTTTAATGCTTTTCTAATTAATATAATGCTGCTAATATCAGTAAACGTTTAAAATAAACGTTTTTATTTTTTTGGTTATATTTCATAGAATCTAGTCTAGGATACACAAACATGCTTTTGAAAAATAAGAAAATGTTTAAAATGTGTCCAAAAGCATTTCATGACTATGATACTGGTCTGATCATCATGCGATGTGATTGTTTTATAATAATTTAATTTTGAATTAGTCGTTTAATTATGCTTAATTTTATATTAATAATTTTGAAATTTGACAACAAATTGAGCTCGCTGGGTGACTACTTAATGAGCTTAGTGATATTATATTATATTATTTGGAAACCGTATACTCCATGTATTCTCAAAATTATCTTATTATTAAATTAGATAAATTAGAGAACCATTAAAAGTATAATTGATAGTAAATTATTTGTGTTATGACATGCTACAAAATATGGTGTATGTTAAATGAACCAAGATTATATTAGTTAATAATTCATATTCATTTTATTATATGATTTAATTAGTGCCAATTCTAAAAGATAACATTGTTAATCGGAAGGATTAGAGATGTGAGAGGACAATTAATTAAATTGAAAGGGTGGTGAGTTCATTTATAAAACGTTATTATATACATATATGGTATGAGATAAACATGGCTAATTTAATTTATATTATTCACTATAAACATTATGAGAATGTTGTTTTAGAAACTAATAAAGTTGGCTTATAGAGTTCATTGTTAGAGCAAATGGACTTATGGGTAGGTCCCTCGTAGCCGGACGACAGGACGTATCGACTAGAATTAACCAACTGACATGCCCATTTTTCATGTGAAAATTCTAACATCCAACGACATGTGGAGTGGGGCTTTAAACGACGTCGGTTTTACCGCCGATTAATTAAATAACCAGCATTTACATTTGATTGGTTTCGTTTCGTTTAAAGAAAATAAATAAATAGACAGACGCATGAGACCCGCGATATATCGCCAAAAGACTCAATTAAATTAATAAGAAAAATGGAAAAATGGATGATAACGAGAAAGAGAAGATAATAAAAAGAGTAAATTAAAAAAAAAAAAAGCCTGCACCAATCCCATACCAGACCATACCAATACCATTCTCATTTTTCACAACAAAACCGAACTCCAAAATATCGCGATAAATCGGAAGAAGATTTTCAAATCTTCAACCTCCGTTTATCTCTCCGTCGAGAAGACCAACAATCTCTCTCTGTAAGCTCTCCTTAAATCTCTCGCTCGCTATTTCTCCTCGTCTTGTTACTTACATTTCTTCTGTATTTGAATTAAACAAATAAAATATTTTCTTTTGCTTTATCTATTTTTTTATAGACCTGTTTGGTAACTGAGAAAATGGAAGTGAACGAGAAAATTTTTGAATCTCAGAAATCTGCGAACAGTTGTTCAAAGACTTTGTCTGTTTCCATGGAAAATACTAGATTTGTAGTACAAGATGCAAGCTGAGATTTGGCATTGAATCTATGACTTTAGAATTTGTTTTCCTGTAGTTGCAGATTTTCTCAGCTACCAAACAGTACTTCAGATAGAGTGATAATTACTGATGTGTTATATATATAGCTACTTAATTATGGTGGTTAATGGACTTAAATCTTGGATTATGTATAAACATATTAAAAGTGATGTTAGAATAAAAAATCTGGTAGAAATGATGCATTTATAGTTGAAGTTTAGCCAGAGTCGAATTTATTCCAAATTAATTGACCTGTATTATGGTTAATGACCCAGGAGAGAAAAGAATTCTCTGTAATTTGCTGGATAAAGGTCTAGTTTTTCATGTTCACAATCTTGTATTTGATAACAGTTCTAGGTTTGAAATTAGATTTGTGAATTGCTGAAACTGCAGCAAAACTCGCTATGACTTCGTGGAGGCTTAGTGTTGGTTTGGTCAATTGAAACTAACTGATGTTTTTCCTGTTAAACTGAGATGCTAAGTTAAGTTCAATTATCAACCCAGTTTTTTCTGTAGTTATATGTTAAATATTGAGGTTTTATGTTATTGTACCAGTAGATGCTTGATATCCTGAGTTTGTTTGAAGTTTAACTTTTTCTTGGTCAATTGGCTTCTGACTATTGTCTTGTGTTTTCATTTTCTTCTATTTTGGTGTCTTTGCAGGTCAATACAGAGGGGGATATACGTTTTCCACATCATCAGTAAGTTTGAGCTTGTTTTGTTCTGATAGTTATATAATGATATATTTTGGAGAAGTAGAATCTCATATATGCACATATGAAACTTTATATGCTCTCTTATATATAGTAGTTCTGCTTGATGATTGCTTCAGTTACTACATTACTCACTTTTGTCAATCATTTTTCTGACTTTGTTCTCTCGCATAGTAAGATTGATGAGACATTGTTCTTCCTGTGATAACTGTTTATATAAAAGTATAGTAATGAATATAACTGCTTCTACTATCTATTAATTGTTTGTTTAGATGTTGCAAATGAATTTTACAGAATGTGAGAGAAAGGACGTACTAAAATATTTATGTAGTGATCGTGTACATATCTTCTTGTAGTGGTCAGAGAAAAAGATGTGTGTTGGGAATATGCAGACAAATTGGATGGAAATAAGGTCAGATGTAAATTTTGCATGAGGGTTTTGAATGGTGGCATCAGTAGATTGAAGCATCATTTATCCCGTCTTCCAAGTAAAGGTGTAAATCCATGTAGCAAAGTGAGAGATGATGTTACTGATAGGGTAAGGGCTATAATAGCCTCAAAGGAGGATGTCAAAGAAACACCAGCTACTAAAAAACAACGGGTAGCAGAAGCTAAATCTCCTGGAAATTTATCTGCAAGTAAATCTCTTATGCCTTTGGATGCACCCTCTCCGATGACAAAAGTTTTCACTACTGTAACACCAATGGGAAATTCCCCTTTAAGCAACCAAGAAAATGCTGAGAGAAGTATTGCTCTGTTCTTCTTTGAGAATAAGCTGGACTTTGCTGTTGCCCGCTCGTCATCCTATCAACAAATGATTGATGCAATAGGAAAGTGTGGTTCAGGATTTATTGGTCCTTCGGCAGAAACTCTGAAGACAATTTGGTTGGACAGGATCAAATCTGAAGTGAGCCTACAGTCAAAAGATATTGAAAAAGAATGGGCTATGACAGGTTGTACTATAATTGCTGACACATGGACTGACAACAAATCCAGGGCTTTGATTAATTTTTTGGTTTCCTCGCCATCCAGAACCTTTTTCCTCAAGTCTGTAGATGCATCCTCCAATTTTAAGAACACAAAATGCCTGGCTGATTTATTTGACTCTGTCATTCAAGATTTTGGCCCAGAAAATGTTGTGCAGATAATCATGGATAGTAGTCTCAACTATACTGGAATTGCAAACCATATTTTGCAGAATTATGGAACCATTTTTGTGTCTCCCTGTGCTTCTCAGTGTTTAAACATAATCTTGGAGGAGTTCTCTAAGGTAGATTGGGTAAACAGATGCATTTTACAAGCACAAACTGTATCAAAGTTTATATACAATAATGCATCAATGCTTGATCTAATGAAAAAATTGACCGGGGGCCAAGAACTCATTAGGACTGGTATAACGAAATCTGTGTCGAATTTCCTGTCATTGCAATCTATGTTGAAGCAAAAATTGAGGTTGAGGCATATGTTCAAAAGCCCTGAATATTCTACAATTTCCTCCTATGAAAGTAAGCCACAAAGCGCATTTTGTATTGCCATTGTTGACGATAATGATTTTTGGAGGGCAGTGGAAGAGAGTGTCGCCATTTCTGAGCCCTTTCTGAAAGTATTGAGGGAAGTATCTGGAGGAAAACCTTCGGTGGGATCAATTTACGAGCTAATGACCAGGGCGAAGGAATCAATAAGGACATACTATATAATGGATGAGAATAAGTGCAAGATATTTCTAGATATAGTTGACAGAAAGTGGCGGGACCAACTTCATTCTCCTCTACATGCAGCAGCAGCCTTTTTGAACCCCAGTATTCAGTATAATCCAGAAATAAAATTTATTGGATCCATAAAGGAAGACTTCTTCAAGGTTCTGGAGAAACTGCTCCCCACGCCTGATACAAGACGCGACATCACCAATCAAATTTTAACCTTTACAAGGGCAAGTGGGATGTTTGGTTGTAAACTAGCAATGGAAGCTCGAGAAACAGTTTCACCTGGTATGTAATCAATTTCCGTTTCATCTGAATGTGTATCTTTTGTGTGTTTGTAAGGGGTATCTCAGGGTAGTAATCCGTAAATGTGATTATTCCTGGAGAGTAGTGTTATCCCCCTTGGTTATAGACAACATGAAAACTATTCATTAAATCTTAAAAGAGAAGTAACATATTATGGTGCTTCAAACTGAATCAATTAGTCAGAAGATGTGTCTTTTACATTAGTAATTTTCTTAGAAGTTTGCTGTTACCTTAGATAAGTTGACATGTCGGGTTTTGGATGTTTGCACTTGCAAGTTACTGGTAAATTTCATTGTAGATATTATGAGTAGTATGCAGTGTATGTCTGAAAATTTTGCTTCTTGTATTTTGGAACTTACAATTCATACATTGTAGGGCTTTGGTGGGAACAATATGGCGACTCTGCACCTGTGCTGCAAAGAGTTGCCATTAGGATACTGAGCCAAGTGTGCAGCAGTTTTACCTTCGAGAAACATTGGAGCACATTTCAGCAGATTCATTCGGAAAAGCGGAACAAGATTGATAAAGAAACATTGAATGACCTAGTGTATATAAATTACAATCTCAAGTTAGGAAGAACAAAATCTGTAGAAGCTGACCCTATACAATTTGATGACATTGACATGACTTCTGAGTGGGTAGAGGAGAGTGAAAGCCCAACTCAATGGTTTGATCGGTTTGGTTCTGCTTTAGATGGGAGTGACTTGAATACAAGACAGTTCAATGCTTCCATTTTTGGAGCAAATGACAATTTATTTGGCTTGTGATTGATTTTGTAAGCATCAATGTTGTATTTGTAGGATGCCCTTGTAATTGTTCTTGCTCTACATTCTAATAGGTTGTGGAAATTTAGAACTTATGAAAAATAATAACAAAGGGCCTGGTTGATTCATGATTTAATAGTTTTTTAATTAAAAAAAAGATAACAAAAATTCTTATGAAAATGTGTTCGATTGAATTGAGGCGAAATGTTTTCGAAAAAAGTTTTTCAATATAATTCTAACAACTAGTATAAAAATTACAAAACTATTAAATTTGGTTTTCATAGTTTTCTACCCTTTTTTATTTGAATTTTTTTTATTGAAATCAAACAAAAATTAAACATATAGAGATACAATTTAAATATTGAATTATACTTTTGAAAAATTACCTTTAAATTACAAAATACAAATCAAAGAGACCCAATTAGATCATAAAACTTACTCTTACTATTTTTATTGTAAATATCTTGTAATTTTTTATTTTATTTTTTTACGTTTTTAATACGATAATGAAATGAAAATAATTATATTCTAGGGTGCGTTTGGCTCCCTATTTTTATCCATATTCCCAATCCTATTCTCCAAATAATGTTTGGTACACTATTCCATAAATATTACCCTATTTTTTTAATTCTTTTAGACCCCATAAGGTTATTAATTTCACTAAATGCCCCCTGAATTTTTTTTTTAAAAATTAACAAAAACCCCCCCATCAACCCAACTTGTCAGATTCCGGCAACCACCGCCGGTGATAGCCGGAATCTGTACAATGGCCTAAATTCCGACCATAAATAGCCGGAATTACACCGATCTGGCCGTCGATAACGACCGTCAACTCTTGGCCGTTGTTTTGGCCTTTCCGGCCGTCGACGGCCATAACAGGCCGTAGATCTGGCCTTTTCCGGCCAGATCCGTGGTGGATCTAGCCGGAAAAGGCCATAATGATGCGTTACGGCACAGATCCGATCGGTCTGTGCCGTAACGAAATTTTCTGGCCAGATTCCGGCGGTGGCGGCCGGAATCTGACACTGCAGGTGGTGGGGGTGTTTTTGTCATTTTATATAGTAGAGTCTTTAATTAAATTAGTAAACCTAAGGGCTTTTTCATAAATTTTTTAAATTTACCTCAGAATACTCCCCGATCCAACAATCCAATACTATTCTCAAAATCCTATCCAAAATACTGCACCAAACAAACCCCTATATTTTTAATACGATCATAGTTCAGTTATTTACAATTGTTAAATTAAATATAGTTAAATAAAAAAAATATTTACGTTTAGAAGGCAGAGCTTATTGCAATTACAAACGTGGCGGTGAGCTCCTTCATTAATTTTATAACGCGTCTAAAAAGTTCTTAAAAGAGTTAAGAAGCAACAGAGTCTGTTACACGCACAAAGGATCGTCAATGGACTACGATTACAGAAACAGAGCGAGTTCAGGATATCCGCTGTACGGTCCTCCTCCTCCTCCCACATCATCAGCTGCACCGTCCAGCCATCCGATGTATCACCAGTCATCGTCTTTTTATCCGAAGATCGGTCAACATGGTGCTCACCCCATAGTCCCTCCCGTCTCTCGCTCTTCCTCTTATCACCAGACCTCATCACCTTCCTCCTCAGCCTCTTGTAAGTCTCAATTTCTATCTCAATCTGACGGCTATGATTAACTTTTGATTTCGAATTTGTGAATTTAGTTTTTAATTGAGATGATTGTGATGTGGTGCAGCGGGATTGGGAATTAGGGTTGCTTTAAAACCTGAGTATCGAATCACTGCTCCGGTACGATTTTTTTGTATTAATTTTTTATTTTTCTTTTTTATCAAAAAGTTTTTGATTACATTGTTAATTATTGATTGTTTAGCTCCGTTGTTTGTTTTAGTTTTTTCTTAGATTGAGTGTTGATTAATTTAGTTGGTTTTATTTCTACACGATTATTTTGAAGCCTCAATTGTCGGCACAAATAGGAGATATTCCCCGGAGCAATTTTCAATTTGATTTTGACTTTGAAAGAAGGGTTTTGGCTGAAGCCGAGAAGGATAGCCAGAACTGGAGCAGGCTTGGGATGGAAAATGTTCCATCAAAAACCACTGAATCTACTTCTTCATTGGTATGTTCTTTTGGCAGGTTGATTGGTTATCAGAAAATAATATGCTTTTAGGCAGGATATATGTATATTTTTAAAAAAATCAGCTTTAGGTGTTATAATAGACATTATTGTTAATGCAGGGCTCGGTTGGGGATCCTGTGGTGAGCAAATACATTGCAGCAGGACTCAACCGTGATGCTGTTCCCATTGCTGTTGCAAACTATGGAGACAACCCGACCAAGGTATTTGTTTGAGCTTGTTCGGTGCATGTTAATTTTCAGTGTAATCTCTATGTTCTGAGGACTTGAAGATTGTCATTTCGTTATTATTTACATAAGATATGTTCCAATTGTGGAATTGGAAATGCTAAGATTATTATGGGAGTTCATCTGCTTCTTTTGTTGCTTTTCCTATCTCTAAAATGAATTTTGATTGTAATACTAGAGGAGGAAAACATTTGGCAATTGAAGAGGTGACTTATCATTAGTCATGCTTATCATTTTTCATTATGATAAATAGATGTTCAATTTCTTTTATAACTAGAATAATATCGTTAGAATTACATTATTAAATAGTTTGTCACTTTTTTTCTTCCAAAAAAAATATGAACAGAATTTATATTCTTGGTTTACTGCTTGAGTTTTTCTATCAAAAGGCCAATAAAAAAGCTCCTTATTGAATTTGGACTGATGACTTATGCCTCATGATTATTTTGAGCTAGCTGATTTGCAATGCAAAATTAAAATCATGCTCAGAGTATTCCTGTCTTTTTTTTTTTCTGCTTTTATGTCATGTGGCATGCTGTAGCCATTGTTCATTTCTTGAGCAGCTCAACTAAGAGATGCCTTCATTTTTCTCCCCTGCAGATTCGGGACTTTGTCAATGGTTACACTCTCCTACGAGAAATGGGATTTTCACCTAGCAGTGTTGCGGAAGTACTACTCATGTATGATAATGACAAAGACAAGGCAGTGGCACATTTCCTTAACAATTCATCATGAAAATACCTAAATGGTTCTGTAATACGGAGTTTTAGTGTGACAGTAGTATATATAAAGTTCAGTGTTTGCTTCATGAATGCAGGTTTATTCTGATTGTATAAAGATAGCCAACAATCTATTGGTGAGGCCCCTGTATTAAAAGTTGTATGTAAAAGCATAAACAACTATATTAACTTGGCAAACTATTGGTGGATGAAATTAAAATGGTTGATCACGTTCTCTTGTTTATATTAATTGGGTTACTGGTGTTGGTCACAGATTCAAGTTCAATTTATGATAAACATTCATTTTACGTTGTACAGAATTTATAAAAACCTCTACCTATTTTCTTTACTTGAGAAGATTCATCTTTAACTGCACCGAGATCTCCACATAAAAGTCTCTTAAAACTTGATGCCCCACACAATATATTCAAGAGATGAACTGAATATTAATGTAAGACATGATATAGCAACTGACATCTCGGTACAACCAATCTCTTCACTAAATGGAGCAATCACCTCATAAAAGAATGAATCGTATTTCTATATTTTGTCGAAAGAATAATCCACATTTGTTGATGATACACCAGGTTCCCGAAAATAATCTCTGTAATTCATGTTTAAATATATCTGCTCTAAGCTACCTACTCCATAATGATTCTGTGGTTTATTCTCTCCATGTTATGTCTTTCGAAAGAAACCGAATCAACTTCTGAGGGGCAAGAGGTCCAACAGAGCAATTTATTCTTTGTCAAGCAGAGTGCAACCTGGTAAGAGTTAAAAAAAAATCTCCCTAAAAACTGTGTCGGTATCAGGTGTTATATTTGCTTCTCAGGATGTTGAACCCAAATTCGATCAAACTCCGGCACAAATAGCTCCTGAAACACAAAAATAAAAATTCAATGACATAATGACAATTTCCATGTTGGAGCACATGCATCATAAAACTTGTTCATATACTCTTATTAAGTTAGGTGCATCGTCAAGCATATCTGATAACTTTGGAAAATTTTCAAGTTCATCATCCAGGGAAGCATGATTGCATATTGGCTGCATTAGGTCTGTGTTCATGGGTAAGAGAGCGAGAGAGAGAGAGAGAGAGAGAGACCTGATGACCAAGATGAGCAGCAAAACTTAGCTTCGTCAATGTGTTTGACATCAAGCCCAAGAAACCAGGATCCAACACTGACATCATCATGGGCATAGGTACGAAGTATAGATCTGCACACAAAGTAAATGGGTAATCAGTCCTTGCTCTTTATGTTGATAGGAAAAAAGGATGACATACAAAAGAAATGAACTGACTTATTGATGGAGATGAATTTAGCCAAAGCTTGTGATATGACAAACATTTCACTTGACGCATGGCGGAAGTATCTGTTGGATGCAAGAAAAATATTCAATACATATGGCAAACATGCAAGGCAATGAAACGTTACACAAACATATTTAGATACTGACTGTTTCTTATCACCGAACTTCCACCATTCTGATTCGTACCATTTATGGCCTCTGCAGTTCAGAGAAGTCCAGCAGTTAAAAAGTATGAGAATAATAGATAATATTCAATTTCATTTGTGACTATATTACAAATTGTCTTTCATCTATATTTTGAGGCCAAACTCACAGCTCAGAGAAGACTTCGCCAGATTTCATACACCCAATATAAGCACGAGGCTTGTCGACATAAGTAGCAAGTGTAGCTCCCAAGGCATCTGTGAAGAAAAGAAGGATAAGCCGCAGGAGGACATATTATCAGAAGTTAATAATAAACCATAAACACAATGCTAATTGAAAGAATACATTTCCCTAGTGTCTTATGAGAAAATAGGATGGCCAATAGCATATAGTTTATGACGTGAATACACTGTTCAACTTACGTCAAGCAAAGGCATGTATCTTCATGACTAAAATTTGACTCTCAATTCAATCATTTTTATAGCATTCAGGTCAAAACAAAAAGCATGGCCCAGGAAACAGTGGCATGGGCAAACCAAATTGTTAATTTTAAGCAGATGCGAGACAAGGTTTTACTATGCTACTCAGTCAACTGATTCTAAAAATTTAGATTTTCAAAGTTCATATAAAGCATAATAGAAAGGCAATAGGCAATATTACTCTATTATGAAGCTACTAACCGATATTCACATAAATATCATCGTTGACTTTAGCATAAAACTCAGCATCCCACTTATCAGCAGCATAAGCAAAGAACAATTTAGCCTTCTTCGGAAACTCCTCAGGTGACTCCACATGGTTTTCCTGTCAAAAAGGTGGGCTAAAACCAATCAGATCTAGAAAGCTTATTTTGTTTGAACCTTGGAAATGACACCCTGTACCAGGCTTTCATGGGCATAAGCATTGCCATTTATCTAGGCTACTCCATCCAATGAAGTTTATTAAAAACATAAAAATTTAAAAACTGTTAAAATATGGCACTTTCAAGTCCAGGAAAATACAGAATGAACTTGATGACCTATTAAGACATACAAGGATGATGAAGTCATTGGTCTGTTTATGCTCGCTGTCTATGCCGTTGTCCAAACTGTTCCCATGATTGCCACTGCAGAAGAACATATCATCAGAACAAAGAGTTCTATCCAAGCATCACATTGAATTGATCACGACTATAAAAAGAAAAAACTAAAACAATTATTACTAGAAAGAGTATTAAACCTTCTTCCAATTACAAATCGTGCAATTATTCCCTTATCATTCTCCAGTTTTTTCAAAGCTGTACCTACAAAAGTAAAGAATTGTGTTCAAGATTCCAGGGGCAATTAGAACAAACTTCATTGAGAGAAATTCTTATTTCCAAAACCCCATCTCATGTTTGATTATAGAACATTTGAAAAAGAGAATACCCTAGGTCCGTAATGAGCCAACAAAAAAGGAAAGTAGTTTACCGGTTCCGATCCATGCTTTACGAATCGCATCTCTATTCTTTTTGCGGCCAAACTTTGTTAGTATTCCTATGACAACTAATGGTCTCTTCTCTGAGCGATTATCATTAGTATCTACGGAACTCTTTGAACCAAAACCCTCTTGTCTAGCCGTAGCCAACTGCATCTCAAGTTCTGTTAACTTCTTTTGTTGCTCCCTAATAAGAATCAACAAATAAGAGTGATTTCTATCAGAATTCTGACTCATGAAAAGAACTATAAACCAGACCAATTTTCAAAAACAAGACGAGAAAAACCCATTAACAACCAATAATCCTGAGATAAATTAGGCGCATTTTCGACAAACTCAAACCAAAATGCCAAAATTAAATTTACCTGCAAGCTATGATTTTCAAAGTATCATCCACTGATATTGCAGATTGCCCCTGAACATCAATTAACAATAAGTAACAAAACTCAAATCATGACATGTCTTTAAACTTATTTAACTGATTAAAGAAAGTGCCGACATCTAAATTCCAAACAAAAAATAACCCAACAAAATTAATAAAGCACATACTCACCAGACCAGTGATTCTATCAAGCTCTTTTATCATATGAACCCTATTCTGAGCATCTTGCCACAATCTATCACAATCCCACCAAAAGGAAACATTTTTACTCAACTGGAGACTAAAAACAATTTTTTTACGAACAAAATTGGAGAAAACTAACCTGCCGGCAACATAAATGGAAGCTAAGGTGGCGAACATGAAGAACAAAAGAGATGAAATTGGGGTCTTAACCACCGTACTCGATAGCCTATTACTCGATCCCCTGCTCTGCATGTTGCTCAATTTCTTTAGTAAAGTTGGAATCTTTCTCAGTGGATCCAACAATCGAAACAGTATATGAAACTTTTGCTGGATCTTCTATGTCGGTTTGTTGTTTAAAATGTGAAAATGAGATCTGTTATTAGTTTAAAGTGTGTAAATGGAGTTCGTTTTGCGGTGAAGTCTTCTGGATTTCAATGTCACTTCACCAAATAACGAACCTCGTTCAGGTGAAATTTTTTTAATTAAGTCTTTTCTTATATAAAATATTTTAAATTTAAGAAATATGAAAATAAGTTTCATATTTTTTATAAGGTTTTAATAGAAAATTGAATTTTGTTTATATTTTTTTGTTCAATACCATATTAAAAATTCTTAATTCAATGAATTTGTAGTTGGCTTTATAAAGCTAAAATTAAATACATTTCCTAAAAGGTTTTTTAATTTATTACAGAAATTTTAGAAAATGTTTTCAAAATGTTAAAAGTAATAATCATTTCCTGATATGTTTCTTTGAATAGAAATGTAATTAAGAGAATTTCTTAATAAGCTTAAGACCCCATTCAATGTAGAATTCAAAATTTTCGTCTTAAAAAAAAAAAAAATTAAAACTGCTTTATTCTAAATGTTATATAAAATAAAATATCTAATTTGAGTAATTATTATTGAATAAAACCAATATCAAGCTTTGCTCAGCACATATGAAGCCCAACAAACATGGTTTTGATAAAGCTTTAAAACTTCTGCTCAGCCATTACAGGCCTCTATAGAGAGCCCATCTTGGCCCAACCAAAAATCATAATCATCAATCTTTTTTGGGGGTTTTAAGATTTTTTCTCGTACTATCTTACTTTTTTTTTTTTTTTTTTTTTAAATAGAGTGTGTGGATAGTTTATATGTATCGACTATCCAAGTAAGTATTAGCACAACATCTACCTACACACTCTCATGTCATAATCACCCGCTTAAATTTTGGAAGCCAAGGAGTTTGAACTGGACTGCGCACCTTAAAACCACATCACAATGTTCTTCTACCACTTGACTTCCAAGTTAGTTTTGTACGATCTTACCTTTTCTTATTTTACTGAAATTTAATTTTGATAGTTTTGATTTTAGAGTTTGATTATATTAAAAGAAAAAAAAAAAAAGGATACTCAACGTTTAATTTAGGGCATCAATGTATGAAGAGAACCGCAAAGAATTTACATATATTTTATACTACTTTATATATTCATTACAATATATATACAATCAATATAAATTGTAAATGTATGAAAAATAATTAACACTTTCTTAAGACGAAAGGCTTCAAGAGAAATTCTTAATTCTAGGGTTGTGTACTTGTGTGTGATAATACAATTGAGGCAACCAGCTGTGGCTGATAGTGCAAAAGTTCATCAAGTGGTAATTAATAAGAGTTAATATGGAATTAATTGATTCTTTTTACGGAACCCGTCTTTGACTTTGCCTTTATATTGAATGTTAGTTTAGCGTCATTAATCAAGAGTGTCAGCTTCAGCATCACAATCACTTAAAACAATCCAACACTTGATGATAGATGTGATCACTTCATGTTTTTGGAGCCTTTAAACTGGTATTAGAATCACCGTGGAGGAGGAGTATTCTATTCAATCAATTATGTGAAACTTTGAATTGGAAAAATAATATTGAATTTGCGATGACGAAGGTGGTGATGCTGTAAAATGAGCTGCATGCATCATCGTGAACGTCAAGGTCTTTAGTTATATTAAACTTTCCTCAGACTGATAGATTGGCGTAGTACAAAAAAGTCCACAGTGTTCTTGTGACAAAAACCTATTGTTTTGTCCTTATGGGAGCTGTATAAATCATAGTAAAACATATTAACCCAAGAGAGCCACATATCTAGTTATCAAATCGATTAAGGAGTCTTCATTAGTGGTAGAAACTAAGGAGCTCCTGCCTCCTGGGCCTGTATGCTGCAGCCAACTCATTTGAATTAATTTGCGAAACGTTGAATGTATAATAATGAGGCCTTGGATTCTGATATGCAGAGATTAAAGGTTAAAGATCTCTCTGGGAATATTTGCCCGAATGATAATGAATATGACAATAAACCAAGAATTGAATCATTGATTATCTTTGCTGGATGAGTATTTGACTAATTAATTCGATATTAAAAATTATTCAAAGCCAGTTAACCATGAAAATTTGCACACCTACCTCCCAATCACAGTAAGTTAAGCTCAATTTTCGAAAAGCTCGTATGAGCAGGACATCTCCATTATTCATCCTTCACGATTTAGCAATCGCATCACCGAATAGATTTCACATTCTTTCATCTAATATTTTGTGTTGGCGTGGCGTCCCTGTGACTGTGAGTTATTATTAACTTTGAAGATTGCAGTGCAGATAGATTAGTATGTTAATCACTCCATATCATCTGAATAGTTAATCTTTTGGGATGGATAATTACACAAAAACAATGTCACTTCACTTAATATATGTATATATAGTGTGTAACTGAATCAATAATGTGAACTCGGGTTGGGGCAGAATATTGAATCAATAATGTGAACATTTAAAAACGTTGAAACATGACGAAGGTGGTGACGGTGTAAAATGGTGTGCATGCATCATCGTTAACGTCAGGGTGTTGTTGAGAAATTAAAGATCTACTGTGTTGTTTTGTGGTCGACACAAAATGGGCCACAAAAACCTACTTGTTTTGTCGTTGTGGTGAGAGGGAGTGTATAATTAATTACATTTTTGACGTCTACTGATCAGTCTCTATTGGCGGTGCATATTGAGGAGCTCCTCCGCCCGCTGCAGCTAGCCACCTTATACTTTAATATAGTCTATTTAATTTTGAAATGTACGTATGCTACTGCTACTCACCGACTTCAATTTGCTAATAGTTTAAGCACTCACGCAAAAGATAATAATATATAGTACATATTCAGATTATAATATAAGCTTTATTTGGAGGAAATCTCATGGCAAACATGTTTCACGATGCAAGATGACAAGATCAATAAGTGAAAAGTAAAGAAATAATTTGTTGAATGTATGATTGGCTCGAGGAAGACAGCCACCACCACATGTTTGGGGCCTTGAGATTGTGATAATACATAGTATACATTAATAGTTGCACCACCCAATCCAAGGGCCCATGTTATTTTCCTTCTTCGTTGTATCAATTGTTTATAAATATAGAAATACTAGTCTTACAAAGGTAAATATAAAAGGGGTATACGAAGATAATTGTTACCCTTGATCTTAATGATTTCTCTCTCTCTCTCTCTCTCACTCTCCGTTCTTTCTTTGTTTTTTCCTTTTTGCTGACATCACTTTGTAGCCCTCTTTGTATTGTCTTTGTAAGGATAACATTTTTCTTATAAATATTTGCAACCATGCAATTTATAAAACTTTAAATTTCGATAAAAAAATAATCCTACACATATAAATTTTTCTAAAAATATTTATTAAATGACAAGTTTTGCATGACCGTCACACAATTGTTTAATGTATTTAGCATATTTTTAATTTTTAATATTTCAATAGTTATATGTAATATCATTTTTGTATATTTTAATTTAGTTAAGGTGTGTACAAACTAGTCCGAATACTCCCGATGAAAAGAAAAGTGCAATGAGTTCTTAGGTCATGTAATTGGTGTGTATATATATGTAATATAATGTTTAGGGTGCATTTGGTTCAGGGAATGTTGTATTACTGAAAAGATAGATTATTAGGAAATCTTTAGAGAAATGTGTTTGGTTAGTTGGAATAAATTAGTGGGTATGTTATAATAATATGTTTGATTGGGAGAATAAATGAGTGGGTATGTTATGGATCACAAATCCATGGTCGAAAACATCTTTACCGTCACACGACCGGCAAGATCCCGTCAGTTTTGCCCCAATATGGTGACTTTTGCCAACGGCCAGCGGTGGTGGCTAGCGGCCAACGGTAGTCTTGAGTGGTTGGGGATATTTTGTTAATTTTTAAACTTTTGTGGCTGGGGTGTTTTAGCTATATTTTCAAATGTAGGAGATAATTATTATTTGGTAGACATATGAGGGTAAATGTATCCGAAATGATAAAAGATTAAGGGCAAAATATAGTCAAATTTAAGATTACCTCGATAATCTCGAGATAATCTTATATTAACACCCATTGAAAAGGTAATATGATTATCCCCAATATTACCAGTAGTAAACATTATTTATAATAAAAGATTATATAATATTTTATTATTTGATAATTAAATGAGAAAATATTAAAAATTAAATAAAAATTATAAGATTAATCTTATATCATTCTGAACCAAATGTAACCTTAGATAATATTCTTTTTAATAACAATGAATATAACTTTGTTTCTAGGATCATGTGTTACTATGCACTAAAGAATTATTGATGAAGCTACACGGGAAAGTAAGTAAACCTTAAAAAGGACAGAGATAAGTTAATAAAGTGGTGGGAATGAGTGGGCATGGGCAACAGGCTTGTGATTTGGATTGACTAAAATTAAATTCAAGTTATAGTGATGTGTGCAAGTGTGATTGGATGCTGTTTGTGGATGGGATGGGACCATGCTGTTTAGAAGTCACAGTTGGTATTAGCTGCTTGCTAATTTCAAGTAATGCTATACTTATATCACTCATTACATTATTTTCATTACACTATCATTATTTTACTAATAATTATTATAAATAATTAAAAATTTATATGAATGTGGGATATGCCACATCATAGTGTAATAAAAATGATGTAATAAGTGGTGTAAATATAATATTATTCTTTGACTCAATTGCATTAATCATGCCGTCTTAATCACATCTTAAGTTTATATATACCTTAATTAATCTTTTAAATTTTTTAAATTATTAATTAAGTAAATTTTTAATAACCACCACTTATTAATAGTTTTGAGAATATAAATTCAGATTTTTTTAATAATATATTCAAAAATCTTTTAAGTGAATCATCAAACTGAATCCTCTTCACTTTTCTCTTTCCTTTTCTATCGTTTTACAATAAGTTAAGGCTTTATTTTAGGACGTTTATTTTTTAAACAAATTTCCTATTTTTAATTCTTTATTAAGATATTATATTTTAATCAATATTTTATGATTACAGCTTTTTCGTTTTAAATTAAAATAATTCCAAATGAAACATAATTTTCTATTCGCAATTTAACAGTAAAATAATTGATATTGTTTTCTTTCTAAGAAATAAAGGCAAAATACTGTATATA